TCCTGCCGCAAGTCGTCCTCTTCCGAACACTTTTCAGCTTATGCTAGTTGCTCGGCCTTATCGTTCTATCGTCATGGAGGTATTAGTTGCAGGTGATATGCGTGACATCGACGACCCAAGGAAGCCACTTCCCGACCGAAGTACCGAAGCCTAGCAGATTCTAGCATGCCATCTGTTGACGCCCTGAGCACCACTACTCAAATCTGAGCTCATGCTTTCCAGCCTCTCAGGTACTTCTCTTCCAGGCCCGGTGCTGCGGAGGCGAACGGTACGGGCCCTTGAACTCCCAGGGCTCCAAAGCTTGCTCGTAAAGGTCTGTGATTTCTTTGCTCTCGACCAGCACTGCGAATCAAAGTCCGGCGGGGTGTAAGCAGCTTAGGCTTCGACCCTATGAAGTACGGAACCGGCCCCATCAAGGACGACGACGACGAGGCCGAACGTCGTAAGCACATCAAGAATTGCCCTTACTATTGCCATCTGGCCATGGCTATATGGCTTCTGCGAGTGGCAGCAGATCGCAGAAGTAGATGCGCCTTGAGGAAGAGGTGGTGCAGATGCTGGATGCCCCCAAGATCACGCCAGCTGCCCCCAAGGTCCGGAGCAGCGGGGATTCTCCTCAACTCAGATTTAGACGGCTTATGAACAAGGTTCTTCCGGCCTGCGTTCCTCCGCCTAGTCCAACGTAAACCGTTGCCGGGGCGGTGTAGAGGTCGCTGCAACTCCAGCCAAAGTGATCCAGGTAACCCACGTCCATGACCATTTATGAACATTGCTGTCCCTCGCCGACTGCTGCAGCGCCGCTTTTTGACTCGTGTGCTGCAGCACTCCACGGACATCCCAGGAAGCTCGCAACTGAAGTTCCGAACAAAGCCTATGCCAAAGCGAGGCGCTGCCGGCCACCCCTGCAGAGCCTGCCACGCTTCCTGTCCGAGTCTCGGAATCGAAGTACAGGGTTGAGTTGAGGATGTTGATGTTTCAGGTGCTTTTTGTGGGAAGTCGAAGCAGGGAAACTCAGATGCGTGCTGCTTGAAGCGACAATCCCGAACAAACCACCATCGAGCATCCTTTCTTGAAGCATCACGAACAGGTCTGCCAAGGGATCTTCCGCATGCTGACCGGGTCTGGCAGGGGCTCCTTTGTCTCAGGTCGCGCTGCTCTTTCCTGGTCAAGGCTCTCAGTGCGTCCAGGTCTGAGAGATGCAACCTGTAGCGCGCAGCTCATCGCATCTGGTTGAGGTCCTCTCGGCTGTATGACCGTTACAGTGTGTGTTCTGCTGGATTGGGGCTGGGTTGTGGTCGGGCATTGGGCAATAATAATCATTTGCAACGTCACCAACACATACCAACACATACCAACACATACCAACACAAGCAAGCACGCACAAGCACAGACACAAGCCTCACCTTAGACCAAGGTTGGCATGCTCAAGCAGGTCAAAGACATGCCAGTCGTCAAGGTCGCCGCTCTGGGGATCTAGGGCTGTCATGTCGATGTGGAAGTCAGGACTAGGGAACTGGAGTTCTGTGCTTCTGAAGGTAGAACTAAACTGCTGATGAATCCGACTGCGCGAAATGCAGCGACCTGTCATCAGACAAGGACACTAGTTTCAGATTTGACACAGACGCTGCCCGGACGCACTGGCTCCAGCAATCACGCCCAACAACTACCTAAATCGATAACGCTTCTGCGATGCCGAATGTTCCGGCGTTTCATGCGACAGCTTTTCACTTCCAGCCCAGAGCGAAACTCGCAGCGAGGCACGAACTGCTCAGTCGCGCGAGACGCCACTCTCAGATCTGCAGTGACTGCACGCGACCCATTGCCCCCAACCCAATTTTGTGCAGAAGCCTCGCATAAGTTTGTCCACAACGACCCGGTCGCCTTTAGCTAAAAGCCATGTCCGTGGCATCGGTGTGCATCTTTCTTGCGCTGCATGCCGTGGCCTCAGACTTTTGTGCAGCTAGTAGGCAACAGTCAGAGCCACTGTCGATATAGTGATGCCCAAACTTCTCGTGAAGATGAAGTCTCCTGAAAATATTGACTGAAGCGTGCAGTGGCTCCACCACTCCCGACTCAGACTCTAGCTGTTACAGTAGCTCTAGCGTCGAGAATCTCGCAAGCTAAAGTCTGGGGCAGGTTCCCGGCCGATGCAAAGTTCTTGTCGACCCAGGCAGTGGCGGAAGTTCTTCCAGACCTCCCAGCGAGTGTGGCTGGGCTATGCTGGGCTGCTGTTGAGAATCCGGGTTGATCCTCATCGAAGCGGTGCTTGCATCGCCCCATCTGAGAAGCTATGTGTAAGTTCTGGTGACGGGAGCAAGACACGCATGCCGCATGTTAGTTACGAGCAACGACGGGAGTCAACTAGGTGGCAAGAACCAGGCCTGTGCCAAGTGCCGCCTGGATGAAAACACCCCCTCGGGCCCTGAGCACAGCTCTCACAAGGAGGGTGGAGGGTTCTGGGCCTTGCGAGCCCTACAACGAAGACCCTTGGGAACCCCAAATCCATTCTTCGGGCACTGAAAAGATTGGGAAAGCTATCCCGTGAAGAGATGCGATACCGTTCTTATATGTGTGTGTGGGTGTTTGTAGCATACAGACATACATCGGATCCGTGTGTACAGACGTATACATATACACAAAAAGTGTACAACGACACTTCCTTACCCTTCCCAGTCAAGTGAATAAGTAAGTTATTGACGTGTAGTTTACTATCGTATGTTGGCAACTACCTTGCGGGGTGGGCGCACACCCCGGCGCTTTTGAAGCGCCGTCGTCCATTGAGAGTTTGAATTCGCAATGGGCCATAAGTATGACCCAGCACTGTCAAAGACCTCCTTCAGGCTTTGTGGCGCATTTTCGGTGCATTTCTGGTGCTGGTGTTCGCCCGTAGCACCGGGTTGCGGAAGCTAGGTGCTGCCGTACTGCGCTCGTCCGATGCATTCTGGCAGCAGCAGAGGATAATTATATAAGTGGAAAGCAGCCTGCGCACCCAGGATGACGAATGCAGCACGGAAGGCTGGCTGATGTAGCCTTTTGCTAATGTCAGGGCTTGGAGTGTGAGAACGCGCTGAGTAGATTGATCGTGCACATGCGCGAGACGTTAGGGTGACTGATGCACTCGGCCTGGCAGCGGCAGCTCATTGTTATCTTCAAATCTTAACCCGAGAAGCGGCGAAAGCCGACTTCACAACTTTGCTGCGCTTGTCCGTCCGTGTGGGCCGGTGACAGCCAGTGCTTTAGAGGGCAGGTCCTGAGGCATGAGCCAGGCTTCGAGTTCGAAGAGGATTTTCTTTGTTGTTTTGATTTGGGGAAACTTTGTGATTTCTAGAGTAGACGACAACCCAGGTGAACCCGTAGGCTCCGTAGACCTGACCTCTCCAGGCTGCGCCTTGAATGCTTTGCAGCGCTCGGGAAGAAAGCTCCAAGAGGCCTGGGCAGTGAAGCTGCAGGGTGTCCGCTTCCGGCTTCGCTTTTGGGTCTTTGAGGCTGAAAAGGTTCGGAATGCGAGGTTACCTGACACCAGAAGCTTGGTGCAGCTTGCTTACTGTAAGAGTTTGGGCTGCCTCAAAGTTCTAGAGACGTTACAGCCTTCAGAATTCGATCAGAAAACTTGGCGCGGATCAAGTCAGCCTCTCATTCATGACGGGGCGAGGTTCGGAACAGGTCTTCTCTTCATTACAAATCTTCATGCTGTCATCACCTCAAGGTGCTGTACCTGCTTCCTTCCTGGGGAGTGCTTGAGCTTCAAGTGAAAAATGCTGTGCATGCTGCGGCAACGATTCAAGTTATCGGTCTGACGAAGTTTGCGATCTCGAGGGTTGTCACTGTGCAGTCGAAGAACTGTGCCAGGCAAAGGACGGCTCTTCTTGGGGAGGCGGCAAACGAAGAACGGGATGCGGGACTCAAGGTTTCAGGTTTGGCTTTCGGTGCATTTGGCAGAGTCTTTAAAGCTTCATTTGTCATCTGCTCCAGGTGGTCAGATGCATCAGCAGAGAAATCATCACCTTGAGACCCGCACATCGAAAGATTCTCGGATGAGGTCGTTGTTCAGACTATGGCTGCACGCAAGGACCTCAATGATCGAAAGAAGATTGGTCCGGAGTTTGCCGAATCATGCCCTCAGAAGGTGTATTCATTAGGCTGGCAGTCACCGAGGCACCATTATCACTACTGGATGACGTGCCAGTGCAACTCTGCCTGTTCCCAGTATGGGAATTGCTGCCGCGATCTCAGCCTTCAACAACTGTGACAGGTAAGTCCCTGTAGCTCTCCAGTCCAGCTCGCATCAATTACGTATCCTCGTCCATCAGAATGGCACCTGAACCCTTGCGTCGCGACGCAGGCCCTGACTACTCCGAGAAATGTGCCCGGAGCTTGGCCTGAGATTGACATGGCCATATCTTGCAAAGACGCATGCAACATCATGCAATCACGTGGCTTCTGCAGAAAATTCAAGCACAAATTCTGCGGACGTCTGTTGCACGAGTACAGAGGAGTGTGGAGTCTTGGAGTTTACAAGACGTGCCGATGACGCTCCCACTGCCGAGGCCTCGCATCCGCAACTAGGCCCCGAGCTGTGCATGTTCCGTGAAATTCCGATGCAGTTTCTGGTCCCTCAGCTAAGCTATGGATATTGAGGTGCGCTGGTGTAGGTTGCACAAAGAGATACAAAGAGATTCATAAGCGGTTGACAGGTGTTGATCCCACATGCTTGTGAGAAGCGTGCTGCATTTTCGGCTGTTCCGGCTCAAGAGAAACCCCATCTGATACTGAACCTGGCCTGCATTCCTTCCGGGCCACTTTTCATATTCCGTCCGAAACTTAGCTGCTCAGCTGGTAAACCGCATCGGGTCGGGGAGCATCATGAACTCTCTGTCTTTCACAGGGAAACTGAAGCCGCCCAAGAGTCAAAGGAACGCTCCAGCAGCTATCTTGAACGGCGTTGCACAGAATCTCAGAAGTGCTTTCTTTCCCTGCCAACTTTGAGGTGTGAGCCACCGATGCAGTCGGAGGAGAGCCAAGAGCACCCAGCGAAACCGGAAGCTTGAATAGCCTTCGACTCGAACAGCAAGTCCCATCAAGTCCCTTTTTCCAACATGCTTTGTGCATGAATGTCTCCTGGCCGACCTTCAGAGATCGGACTTGATTGCTACCGCGCTTCTCCGGACTTTCAAGACTTTGGCCTCAAGCTCGAAGCTTCAACCTTACCAAGCCTGAAGCCACTGATTGGTTCGGAGGAGAGCCCCGAACTCGCCGAAGCCGCCGCCTCTGGCGCGGCATCCGCCATTTTAGCCTCCTCAGCCAGCTACGGAGCCTGCGAGGAGGAGTTCGGGCTCCAAAAAGCATTGCAAACGTGAAGGCTTCGTAGGGAGGTCGTGGATCCCCGCTCCTCTCTGCTATGTAGCTGAGACATACATCGATGCACAAAGCACCGGGCTCGGAGGATACGGAGGCTGGCGAGAAGAAGGTACGGCACAGGGCCCCAAAGCGAGAGCTTCCAGGCGGATCTTGTGGCGGAGCAGGGAGGTTAGAGGCCATTTCAGCCGAGGTTTTGCGAAAGCGTCCAGAGCTGTGGGTTTTCCACCGGATACAGGTACCTTGCTGCTTGCAGAAAGTGATGATATTGGGATGTGGGTGCTAAGCATGCTAATCCCTTTCCGAAAGACTCACCTCGCGAGACTGCTGAAGTTAAAAGCCTCGTTGCTTCCGCAGGCTTGGAAGAGGTTGGAGGCTTCTGTGGTGGTCTGGCACAAGACTACCGTCGAAGCTGGGTCGGGTCGTGTTTTGAGCAGTCGTTTGGGTTTTGCGATTTTCCTTTAGGCAGGGAGTGTCCGGAATCTTCAAATCGGCATCCCAGGAAGATCGAAATTCCTGGTGTCTGACTGGACGAGCGATGCATTTACTGCCAAGACCATCTCCTCGGCCTTGTTCATGTTCTTCGCCACGTTCACATCCACCTTGGCTCTTGGGGAGCACATCACGGAGTCCACCAATGGCTTGATTGGTCTTAACGAATACCTCATGATGAACAGCCTCGCTGGCATGGCTCACTCGGTTTTGGGGTGTCAGCCGCTTCTTGTCCTCCGTCCCACAGGGCCCATCACGCTGCTTTTCGAGAAGCTGCTAGACTTCGCGAACCAGCACTCTTTGCCTTTCTGGCCATTCTTCGCCTGGACTGGCCTTTTTGTGGGTCTGCTGATGTTCCTCATCTCGGCGTTCGAGCTCTGCAAACACGTGAGGCACCTCTCTCTTTTCACGGAGAACATCTTCGCCACCTTCATCGGAATGGTCGGGGTTGCAGAAAGAAGTGGTAAATGACGTTTCAAAGCCGCCATGAAAGTCTCGAGCCCTGAACCCAGGTCTACATCAACGACGGTATTCAGGGAATGATCCGGCTTTGGGGAGAGGGCACGCAGGTCTCCTATGGCAGTTCGGCTGCAGCGTCGAAGCTGCTCACACTTAACATGACCATCGGGTTCACAGCCCTGACTTTGCTTCTGGACAGCAATTAGCCCCAAGGTTTACGTAAGATCTCGAGTAACCGGACACACATGTAAACGGGATGGGGACCGGGAGGAACCCGGAGGAAAGAGGGCCGAGCGAGTTGCGGGCTGCATGCAGGTGGCTAAGCACGCTCCAATCCTCCAAGCTCCTGACGTTCAAGGGCAGGATGTTTCTCAAGGATTATGCGCTGACCATCAGCCTGTTTGTGTCCATCTTCGCAGCGCGATATCTGAACCAGGGCCTGTTCCCCGTCACATTTATCGACACTAAAACGAGCGGCTTCAACACCACCAGCGACCGACCATGGAATACGGACATCACTGCTATCTCTGGGAGGGGAGTGCTTTGTGCTGCGCTGGCAGCCTTCCCGGTGGTGGTGTTCTTCTACCTTGACCAAAACATCTCCAGCAGCCTCTGCCAGAAGCCCGAAATGAAGCTGAGTAAGGGCAGCTACTACCACTCTTCGTTCGCATGCATGGCCTTCTTCAACACTGTCGGGCCGCTCTTCGGGCTGCCCTTCGTGACTGGCTCCTTGCCCCATTCACCGCAGTTTGTGCTGTCATTGGCCGAGACCGATGAGGAGCATCGCATCACGAGAGTCCGCGAGAATCGCTTGGCGCCTCTCCTCTGCTACTTTCTAATTGGCTTGCCTCTTCTGGCGCCTTCCCTGCTAGAGCATGTTCCGAAAGCCGCGGTCTTTGGCACCCTGATCTTTGTTGGAATCGACGGCATTCAGAGCACACAGCTATACGAGCGGGTTTTATTGATGGTGACAGACCCGCGCTTCTTTCCCAAGACCGGGCCATTTGCCAATGTACCCGTGTCCAGCCTGCACCTCTACACTCTGATTCAGATTGCACTAGTCGCCGCATGCTGGATGGTGAATGCCGACTTTGGGCTCTACTTCCCGCTCTTCTTCATCAGCCTGGTACCCGTGCGCTGGCGCCTTGACTGTCTTGCGCGCAGAATATTGTGTCAAGACTTAGAAGGGCTGCTTGTTGCCTCCTGCGTGATCCGTGATCCAGCGTGTTGATTCAGTGTCCAGGTTCGTGGTGCCGTACTTCTTCACCAAACAGGTCCTCGACGATTTGGACCATGGTTTGGACGTAAAGGAGGAAGATGCCAAAGGTCGCCCAGGTTTCGTGCGAAGCGGCTCCATCTACAAGGACATGTCACCCTGACAAGCTTGGAAGATTGAAGGACGACTCCGACATGATTTCAGCGAGGTACTGAAAAGAGACACCATGGCTCACAATGGCATGATCCATGCCAAGTGCATTGCATGCATGCACTCACGACTGCGCCTCTGGTTTGGGGATTTTCGCAGCTGAGTGTGCAGGTAAATGTGCCACTTACGGGTGCACGCAACCCGGCAGCAGTTGCCCTTCTCTGGTGCTGGGAAGCCTTAGCGGCCCTCTCCCACATCGACCCCTGCCCCAACCTCGAGTCCGGCATGGATTTCACCTGCATCTGCAGGAGCAGCTACAAGCCAGAATCGCGCTGCCAGTGCAACAGCCAGTGCGTGGACTTTGGCAACTGCTGCGGGGGGACCAAGCTGCCATTCTTTCACAGAAGCCACTGCCAGCTCCGAGACCGAAAGCATCTCTTAAATGACTGCGCGAGGTGACGACTACGTGGCCACCTGCACCGTCCAGGACTCAACTCGAACGAGGGGCCACGCACGAGCAGAGATGCTCGTGGGATAGCCCACTTCGTGACGACGGGGACGAAAGGGTACTGGAACTGTCAGACGCATCGGATGACTGTTCTTAGTAGGCTAAAGTGGATACAGCTTCTCGCTTCCACTTGCTCAGACGCCGAGGCGTCCACAACAAGCTCCAGCTCGGAGGCGAAAGCCGCAAGTTGACCAGCCCCCCACCTGAGCGCGCCCCTGATTGAAGTCTAAGTGCTCCCAGAAGAGAGTTGAAGCTTCGCTGGGCCTGCCCGGAGCATGGGCAGGCTACTGCACCAGCTACGCCGGCCACATCGGCTCCATCTGTCTCACCAGGCGCGCGGAAGATTGTGACAGATCGTGACCCGGAGATTGTGGCAGCGAAGTTGTCAAATCTGCAGGAACTAAGGAATAGTGCATAGAGCAGAGGCTTTCTGAAAGCCTACCACAAATAAACTGAACCGTCCGGGGAAGGTCCACCCGAGCGCTCTTCTCGATACAGGCCAGGCTTTGCTTTGGACCTGAGGTCGTGTTGAACCACGAACTTCCGGCGGCTTGCACGGTGTGTGAAGCGAATGGGGCTACTGTTTGGAGTTGGCGCTGTGCAAAGCCCTGGCAGGCTGAAGTGGTCCGCACAGGCAGGAGTGCATGCAGCAAAGTGCAGAGCAGGGAGGGAGAGAGAACCTCACGGCCGGGCTTGCGCGGTTGCAAGTGTCGCTCTCCTGTCCTTTCAGAGTGGCAGCCAGAGACGTTCCCCGAAGTCCCCTTCAGTGCTCAGCTGCTGTGAGGGTGAGAGCTTCTTCGACAACTGGAACTTCCTGTGGGAAGACCACAACCATGGTCCGCCTGCTTATTTCCGAAAGGATGGTCTTAAAACTGCATGGTAGCCACAACAGCAGGAGAGAGATTGGCGGAGCTGCTCTTGAGGCTCTTCCTATTGTACTTTGCTATTTCATCTCAAGACCCATACGGCCCAAGCAGCAGCTTTTATGCATCTTATGCATCCATGCATCAGAAGCTGCCAGGCTCAGCTCAGTACCTTTTGGAACCAGAGGCAAAGCAAGAAAGCGTCATTGAGGCCACCCGCAGCTCGGTCAAAAGCAGAGGCTTTGGAAGGCCAGGAGAAGCCATGACCTCGCGGTATTTCTCGGGTTGCTATGGTGTCAAGATGTGCCCAGTGTTCCAGCCGATCGCAGGGGGGACAATCATGACAAGCATGCAATCGCGAGATCTTGATACTGTTGTCGTTCCTGCTACGATGTCGATTTTGATGAAGCTTGATCCTTGTGGTATCCGACTGCACAGTCTGGCAACCTTGCGGGTGGGGGCCGTGTCAAGTCATCTGAAAAGAGACGGCCGATCCGAGGCAACTTCGCAATCATCCGCGCTGGTCGGAGGAGTCCAAAGCCGAATCCTCAACTTATCAGATTAAGACACCGCCGAGATTCGAACCAGATGCCACGGAAGATGTCCACCGAGGTACAAGTACAAGCGTATGACGACCCGAATGGAACCTTGATGGCAGTCAGTCGCCTGCCATGGGTTCTCCTTGCCAGGGAGCGGGCAGTGTTTCAGGTTGCATGCGTCATTCTGGGTCTACTACTGAGCTGTCTGGTGGCGGTTGGGCAACCATGTGGGTAGCCTTGTGAACGATAGTGAAAGATAAATGAGTTCAAGTTTATCAAGCTGTATGTTGACACGATCGAAAACATCGCCTTTGTTTTGAAGCACATAACCGCCCAAAGCCGCTTGCAACTTGCAGATGTCGGACTGCCCGAAGCACGTCTCGGCGTCAGTGGCGCTCGCGGAAGCTGAATAGGGCTGAGACACTTCGCGATGATGATGATGATGATGGTGATGATGATGATTCTGACCGATTGAAGCGAGACAACCTCGGAACCCGGCATGTGCAGACGCTTACGGCAGCCATACATAAGAGGGCTTTCTGGGAAGCCATCTGCTCGGCTTCCCACCTTCCCTCTTCTCCAGCAATCTGCATCGGTCCGTCATGGCACAAGACCTCCAAGCATTGGCAGCATGTTGCAAGAAAAAGAGATGTGAGCCGGGCTTTGGCCCTCGTAATTCGGAGCGTTTGGCAGAGTGAAAAGAGACCTGGAAACATCTGGGGACCACCTGTGAATCCCAGGAATCCAAGCGAAGCTGGAAGTATTTCCTGACGCTGATCAAGTTCTCCCACGTGCCTTATGGCTGTGGGGCTTGCGCCTCAGCTTCCCCTCCCTCGGTCTTCTTGGTCCGTAACAAGATTGAGGAAAACCGTTGAGGCACAACGCTTCTGAATCGTGCCGTCTAATCTAAATCGACGTCTTCGCCGCGCCGCGTTGTATCAACTTAAGGTGAAATCGACTTCTGCAAGCGAATTCTACAAGCAGGTTCAAACCCCCACACCCAAGGTGTGGCCTGCATTATTCACGTTGGCACCTAATGTGCCGTGGCCAAACGGTGGCGAGCTCGACATCCTGGAATACGTGGCTTGGTCGTGTCAGCATCCTTATTTGAGAGTGAAGGGGTGTGTGCCTTTGTGCTTCAGGGCTTTGCAGGCCTTGGTCTCGAAGCTTCCATCACATCCCGAGTTGTCCCGTCAGGGTTGCAGGAGGATGTGACTTTGATACCACGGTTTAGACCTCAGCCTGCCGGCACCTCACAGCTTACAGCTTACGGTCGGAATCGGATCACGGATCATGCCCCCATGTCATGCGCTTGCAAGAGTTTTGGGAAGCCTTTCTGGAATCTGGGGCTGAGGCTTCTAAGACCGGTTAGGACCCCTGCACACTCGTTCTCCAAGACACATCCAACAGCAGAGGTGAACATGGATGTTTCCAAGGCCGCGAGCTCTTTGGGGAAGGGGGCCAGGCTTGCATTTGTAACGGCTTGTCTTGCGGAGGAAGGTTGGGTCGTCGGCCAAAGCATGTCATCGAACGAACTCAGCAGGCATCCTTCCACACCGGCGGCGAGTGCAAGCTGAGTGCGGAGAAAGTGAATAAATATGGCCCCATGCCAGACAGGACTCTGCCATGAGCACTCCGGGGTAAAGGGTCAGCACGAGTACACAAGCTGCGCACACACTTTCAACCCTCGATTCCCAGCCGCAACCCCGCTCTGCAGGAACAACATGGATTACGACTGCGTCACCGACTATCCGGACAGGCGTGCACGCGAAGTAGTCTCCACCCTGGTGCGATCAACCAGCTTCGAGTCTCCTTTTGTAGACCGCTGTCGCTGTGTTGACGTTGTAGCACAGCGGTCGCTGCATGACACCTCAGACTCGCCAGGTTGGGCTGTGCTCCGAACAAGTGGATGAAGTCCGGTACCGAGTGGGCCCACAGCCCAGGCCATCGGCCGCTCAAGGACTTGAAGACGAGCTGTCTGGAAGAAGTGGTATTCTACTTGTTCAACTGTAGCTCTCTTCAATTGTCAAACCGGAAGGCCAGAGGCGTCCCGTTGCGAAAAATAGCCAAGTTAGGAGTTAGGAGTGAGCATCGCATCGGACAGGCATCCTGGCGACCCAGTGGACGGAGTCCTTCCTTAAGAGACTCGCCATGCATAATAATGAGATATTCTGCACTGACGCGGACTCTGCAGAGTGGGGAAAACGCTTGTTGTGCACAGCTGCACAGCCAACATCCTTGCAATTGACATCCAGAATGCTCGTGCCCGTCTGCAATGCCCCTCTCAAAAGTTTCAGCTCATGGGGCTCTTGTTTTGGACCGGAAAAGTTGGTCGCGGGAGCAGGCAGTAGACTCCATGCATATGGCCCAGGATCTTCTATATCCCAGAGCACGAGATTCCGCAGGCCTGGTCCAGGGGCTGAAGTCGTTTGGGGAGTCGGTTTATGACGTGCTTCGTGCAAGTGACTTCTGCGTTCGTGGCCACAGGTGTATCGTCTCTGCGACCATCTTTGAACATCTCATGTCGGTGCGTCATGGTAGAGACCCACACTAGCACGGTCAACCAGGGACTGTGTCCGCAAACCCCAAGCCCGAGGCACTGCTGTCCGAAACTCCATACACTGGCAGCGAAAGCAAGAAGTCTGAATGCTGACTCGTCAAGCAGGACATCCTGGCAGACGACCCAAGCCCAGACAAGGCCGGGTGAAAGATTCACGGTCTGTGGCCTTTCTGTAGTGTAGGAAGTCTTTCATGAACCACATCGCGTCAAGCCGAAGCTCGCTGGCATAGGGCGTATACATGTACATGAACATTATGACATACCTTTTCCGAGAACGGCTGCTGCACGCATGAAAAGCTGGAACGTCTCAGAATATGGCATGTCATGGCCTAGTGGCTTTCGAACCCGGGAAAAGCTCTTGCCGAGACCTGGGATGATCGCTGGCTGTTCTCGTATTACCCCTTCACTGGGACGAAGTGCATCTTCGAGGATGCCGGGGCTTGTGCAGGGCCAGAGAAGCCCGAAGAGTCACACCCGGAAGTCTTGAGTCTGGCCTGTCAGCCAGAATCTTCAGGAGGCGAAGCCCACACTCTGCACACCGCAGCACGATTTTTAAGAGCAACAGCGAAGGAGCAGAAACTGATGATGCAGATCAACTTTTGTGGCGACTGGGCCGGCAAGGCCATTGGGCCTTCATGCACTCGGCTGCACTTCGGATCTGGAGTGAATTGTGGAGAAGTGGTTGGCGCTCGGGGCGAGAGAATTTGTTGTGATGACAGGGCTGACAGGTTCTGTCGGTTTCAAGCGGCTTGCTGTCACGAGGAGATGCTTCGGTGGATTGCATGAATCTAGAACATGCTATGCCGCGAAGCAAGCGGAACATCCGTGCTCCGGGCCAATGGACGGGACACCCACGTGCTTCCAATGTTTCAGCCGTACAGAAGCCCAACTTCCAAAGCTGTGCACCCAAAACTTGGTGGTTGCCCTGACGAGAGCCTTCAACAAGCTAGATCTTCGACATACCTGCACGTTTACTGCGAGCATGTGCAGGTGTGGGGTCGGGGCCTTAGACCCACGGCCGTCCGGCGGACATGTGAACGTCAGCAGCATCGAAAAAGTAGCAGAACACTTCTCGGTCTAAGTACGAAGGATCTTCTGATCGAAACCCTGCCAAGTGTCGCTTGTCTTGAGGTGCGGACGGCAATTGCAACTGGCGGTGGCGAGCCAGCAAGAAGATTTCAGCTGACTTGATAAAGTGATAAAGGGTTTTCAGAACCCCACAGTGCCTGTGAACGATCTTCGGAGTTGCAGTTGAGGGAATTTCATCACGCTGTTCGGCCATACCATACTTGTAGACGGTTCATACCGGCTCGCATAGTCGGTGTCGCAACATCGCGACGAGCTTCAATGATTCAGAAACGCTTTTCGTGGGCCAAGGGTGCCTAACTGCCGGGCGGTGGATCCATTGGCGGAGTTCCTCGGATTGCATTGCAGTTCGCATGCCATGCAGAGCCAATCAGACCTGCGCAGGTTCATAAACCCCAAGACATTCAGCTGTTCCATTCCGATATTTACATGGGAGCTCGAGATTTCCGTACTCACGAATTTCTATGGAATGTAACCAGGCATTTCAATCATCCAGCAATCGAGAGTTTGAAGCGACGCACTTGGAGTTCCATGTGCAGTCCAGAACGTGCAAGAACCATAAGAAAACAGCGGGACATGCTGAAGTATCCGAAAGAAGCATATACAATTACATGAGCCACAGCGTCCATCCCGCGATCTCCATTGCTGGGCCGTTGGATCCCTGATTGTCCGAAACTATCCTAACCCCTAAATCAACAACCCAAGCAGCAAATTCAAAGCCCATCCCACCCTATTGCCGCCTTTCGCCGAATCGTCGTTCCCGACAAGCACTCTCAGAAGCCAGCTCCAGGTATGCGCCGGACCAGGATGGGCGCTTATACCTCTGCCAGTGTACAGATGTGCCATTGGCGGATGCACGGGTTCAGCGATGTTCTGCGGTTCAGCTTGGGGCCATGCGCAGCCAGGACTGCTGCACCCAGTGGATCTGGGACGAAAACGACAGGCACAGCCAGAGCAAAGCGTGGATTTTCAGCCGTTTCAAGCAAAAGCGTCCCTTGCAAGATCCTGAGAGAGCCTTTGGCCCCCCCCCCCCCACCGTGCCAACCCTCGTTGCGATGCTGTGAGGTTCGGCACGGAGACGTACCTGAAAGAGCGAGCTTTCTTCAACATTTCTTACATCAAGGTGTTCCAGTGATCTGCAGTCACTTAGGGCTGCGACTGCGAGTTCCGAGGTTATGAATCGAATCGAGTTGTGTTTCCAAAGCGGAGCAGCCAGCAGCCGGTTGCATCGGCAATTGCAGCAGCAAAAACTGCAGCACCTTGCTTGCATCCTTTTGATCCTTTAGCTAGGCCTGTGCAGGACCCGGCGCTGTGTCCACACAGGGTGCAGGGTTTCACCACAGCGAGATGCAAGATTGCTGACTACCAAAAGTCGTCCAGTTTCGGCCTGCAGCCCTTGCTGCGAGGGATGCGAGCCACTTGTTTCAGGCCTCCTAAAAGAACTTTTCGAGTCCCGACTGGACAAGGTCTTTACTTACAGCCTTACAGCCCCTCTGTGCCCAATTTCGGAGCTCTGAGAAGGCTCTGGCCTGGCCTGGGGCAGAGGAGCAGGATCCCAGAAGCAACGTGCCGCGCTGTTGCAGGATATGCTCAGCAAGGCGAAGGATATCCTGGGCAGGGGCCTCGGCAGCAGCCGGCGAAGCAGCGCCGGGAAGCAGAATTTGAAGCTTTCGTTGCTGCAAGTTGTGTTTTGAGCTTCCATGCTCCTTGGAGCGAGGCTATGATCTCCTGCAGCTCTGCTTGGAGGGACCAGAAGCACCTTTGCGGAACTGATCGGCTTATATAATGCATTGAATGAGAAGCCCCGGTATCAATTCTGATCTGATACGTCCACCTGCCACCACATCAATGCAAGCTTGCAGGTTGCGCCTCTCGTGCAGGAGTTGCAGTGTGATGACTCACGGAACGAACCGATCCAAATGCTTCTTCCGGATCCAAAGCTTCCTGCAGCATCTAAGGACAAGCTGGAAGAGACGAGGTACTGCCAGCCAGCCATGTTCCTGGCCGGGTCGGGTTCTGAGAAGTGCGGCGAAAACACACCTGCAGGGAGGCAAAGCTGGAGCCCGAACACCGCCAATCTTCAATCGTGCCGTTCCTTCACAATTCAGGGCGGTCATCGAGATTCCCCCAGCTGCAAAGTCGTGCCCAGGCTTGCCGCAGTAGAAAAGCTGAAATCCGACAGCCCAGAGGTGCACTCGGCGTGCTGCGAATTGAGGTTTTCAATTGCAAAGGATCCGGTCTACTCTGTCCTAGACGCCCTGATCAAGAGACAGAGGGTCCGATCTTTATCCTCGTGCAAAGTTTCAGGAGAGGCAGAAAACCAGGAAGACGCATTGCAATCCTTCCATGCCTCAATCTTCGGTGGTGCTGCAGTTGTAACGGGTTTCATTGATATCTGCCTCCGCTGCAGCACGCTGCCAACTTCAAAGCCGCAGCGGGTCTGTCACTAGGCAGGGAGCTCAGCGCTGGAAAGAGTATCCCACATGGTTGGTTGCACAGGTGGGCCGTACTACGAAGTTCACATGTTCGTCTAAGGCGTTGCAAGTCAAGTACAGAGCGGGTGACCTTCCCTGCCCCGACCCAGCTTTGCAGTCTCTCACCAGCGCGCGGCGACGCACGGGAGTCGGGAGTGCTTCCTTCATCCATCTGTCTTGGGAAGAGAAGCAAGAAAGGAGTGAGGTTTCTTTCTCTGTGTTCATTTGATCCGCACCCAGTATAGGTGCGGGGTCGGCTTATCCGTGACTTCAGGCCCTCAGACACACACCCACCAGAGAGAGACGGAGAGAGAGAGAGAGATAGCTGATAGCTTTCGCTGCTGATGTTTTTCGTGGGGAATTCGCCTCATTCCCAGCTACTTTCTCTCAGTACAGCTGAGCTCTCGGGAGCGAGCCTAGGACCGAGGGTGTGCATGTTCGCATGTATGCGGTGGCTGGACCGCTTCTCTCTTCACGCCCTGCCTGTGGAGAGAGAGAGAGAGAAAAAAAAAGAAACAAAAACAAAAACCAAAGAATTAATAAGCGATCTCCCTGCGTACATACGATCGGCAGACAGAGCCATACTGTTCTTGTTGCACAACATTCCCTGAACATATTATTGCATCTTTGTAGTTGGCTGTATTACACGGGGGGGCACTACAGTATCAGGGAATGAGAAATATAATTCATGCAGGTGTCCAGGACATGGGGAACATCCGGATTCGCCTTATTTAACCATACTATGCATGTGAAGGATGTGAACCTGTGAATATGTTTTCACAACCCCTCAAAGCCCCCCCAAGCCTGTGGAAGCAGAGAGAGCGAGAGAAGGGGATTTGGCAAGCATAGCCAGACTCCTGGGTGTCGCACAGACGGAAACCGTTTGGAAACCGCTGCAAGCGGCCCGTTGTCGGCACACCTGCGGCACGAGTTCCAGGTGAGTACACCGCGCTTTGCGTAGCTGGTGCCTTCACCTTCGAGGTGCTTTGCAGGGGGCACACGCTTCAGGGTAAACCTTGGTAGGGCCTGCAATGGCTCTTTGGCGAGGGGCGTCAATGGGTTTCCGGGGCTTAAGATCGAACACAAGCCATGTCAATGCACCGATTTACCCTGTGCTGCACTCGGGCTCAAAGGGAAGCGGGTTTCTGCTGCTTCCAACCGCTGGACAATGAAGATCCTTCTGCTCCATACTCTTGCATTTTGGCTGCAAGGGAGCCCATCTGACCGAGTACCATCCACGGTGTTGATTCCGAGGTCGTTGCTTCTCATGTCCGTGCTATTGTGCTGGAGACATCAGACACGCCGGTAACACCGGGAAAGAGGATCAAGGGATTGCTGAGGAGCCGGGGTCTGAAAGCCGTGAGTTGCTGCTGCCGATCGCTGGTTCTGAAAATGAGAACCTCTTGCAACTTGTGCGTTGTCAATATGCTTGAGGAGCGACCTCCGGGGCCCGATTTTCGTGCACATTCCGAAGACTGCAGGCGGGCAGCAGGATTGGGGTAAGGGAGTGCTTTTCTCAGCTCCACGACGTGAATGAAGATGGGAAGTAGCACCGCACCTGGGATGGATTATCCCAGAAGCTCCGAGCAAGCTGGTGACTTGTCTTCGTCCGAGTTTCGTGATGGTGTAGGAGCGAGGTGAGCCCTCTGCAAGATACTAATGGCTGTGCTTAGCGCATAGAGTTAGAGGTTGAACCTACCGCTGACGGATACGTACTCTCCAACCACTACTGGGCCGGATGGTTTCTGGGGCAGACCAGTGATGAGACCTGTCGAGGCACTTCCATTTGGAAAGCTTTGGGCTCGAACTTCACGGATTCCGGAAGGTATCCGGAGGCCGTGGGTTTTTGGGTGTTCGGGTTTATCATGACCTGTCGTGTGACGGCAGAGCATAGTCTTGCTGGATCCTGCTACACCTGCTTCCTGTGTGACTTTACTGGATAAGACAAGTGGTCATGGTCGGCATCGTTTGTCAGAAGCGGTTCAGAGTTCAGAATGACACGCAAAGTTGGTACTTAGAAGTGACTTCAGTATGCCAGATGCAGCTATCCATGCTGTTCTTGAAAGCACGGCTGTAGAAGGTGCCATTTTTCTGCATGAAGCACAACCCTCCACAGGACCGGCGTGGGTCTTCGGGGAGGTTTGCAGAAGTTCAGGTCAAGGGATGCAGGCTGTCCCGAACAAGGTGTTGTCTAGCACCGGAGTTTGACGGGGGCGGAACGCACAAATAACCATCTCCCAGAGATCACCAGCGATAGCATTAAGAACCTCTCGGTACACTCCTGAGCATGTCCTTCCTGTCCAACACAGGAGCACGTCCCAGATAGCTGGGTGCCTCACCTGCAAGTGTCCGGCGAGCCGGAAGCCTCCTGTAATGCCTTCTGCCGTGCGAGCTGCAAGCTGCCTTAGGCTGCCTTGTGCTTTCGCCCATTTGGCATTTTATCCGAGGCCGTCGTGCGAGATCCTTGCGATCGGCTCGTTTCGGAGTTTGCCTGGGCGCGGCTGCAGGGTTGGTACAACAGGCTGGGTGCATTTGGTTTGAATTTCCAGCTTGTCGAAGGTTTGGCTTTCGGTCATTCATTTTATACGCTTCGCGTCGTCGTCAAGACGGACAGCGGACAAAGAAGCTGATTCGCCCCCACAGCCAGTGATGCAAAGCCACACTTGAAGAATTGACTCTAGTCCATCCTCAAAATGGATGGAGTGGGAGCGGGTTTGGGGGGGTGGTGGCCAACCCGAAATCCAATTTTAAGGAGGGGGCGGGTGACTGGGAGGGGATTCAGAGGTGGGAAACAGGGATTCCCCGTCTGCGGGAAACTCTGACCGCCCGGCCGCTTCAACCCGAGCCGTCCCTGTCAACTTCCCACAGCTTTTTGAGCATGTTGATAACGGAAGCAGAAAGCCTCGAGCCTTTTAAGGATCCTTGAAGCCTTGAGAGCCATGAGAGGTACAAGGCCGATGGCTTGGACTCCCATGCCACGCCGGACTGTGCTACACGGACGAAGCAAAGAACAGCTTGGCGTTTTTGCTCCATAAACGCGTCGCACCATGTCTATGCTTGACGACAGTTGTCGCTTCTGAATGTTCGGCTCGAGGCTACGTTCAACAAGTGGGTGTCCTTGGTCATGAAAGCGCATCTTGGAGAAGTTTAGCTGAAGCTGTGATACTGGGATAGTAGGGATTCGTCACGGCAGCCTGGGCCTTGTCGCAAACTTAACAGTGAATCGCCACAGACGCAAGGCTCCGGACAGAAGCTCTTACACTGAGTGCAGGGGAAAGGTTGCTGTAGTGAAATGTAATGAACTCTCGCTTCCAGGTATAAAACCGACTCAGAGGTCGAAGACTGTCATATGATTCCTCAATGGTGCCGCTTGTCTAAAGCTCAGTTAGGCTGCTACTCCGGCGCTTTTCGTTGGGCTCAATACCGACCCCTATGCTTATGCCTTAGTCCTCGTCCTAAGCTCCGTGGTAAGGGCCCTAGCACAGGCAGAGGCTTTTAACGACCTGGCATGCTCAGGTTACGCCTCCAAGGTGGACAAGCTGGTGCCCATGGTCGGGGATTTGGAGCAGAACGTTCGCAAAGTTGACCAGCGCTTGGCATTTCTCAAGCTGAACAGCACGAATCACCACTCTCACGTCCTCAAGAAGTACGATGTCGGCTGTGGTTGCTTGACGCCGGAGAATCTGAAGGCTGTAACTCGGCGAAAGTGAGCTGGGAAGCGAGCCGGATTTGAGGTTAGCCGCACAGCAAGTATTGGGTGTTGCCTTATTGAAGCCACAGGCTGTTCTTCGCCAACTACCATGATGTACTGTAAAGGGAATCGAGACGGGCACCGGCTTGAGCATCTGCCGGGGCTTCAGACAAGTGTTCTTTGAACGACTGCAGCACAGGGTTTCCCTGTCGTGCAAAGATCATCTGGGATCTGCCGTCAAATGCATGCCCAAGAAACACAAAAGTTGCGAGTAGTCATCAATCGTAAGAAAGAAAGGGTCTTCTTCGACAGGCCTCGCAGTGCTGCCGAAGCATTAATCATCGAGTGGGACATAAATCGCATGACGGGAATATTGTGAAGTGATCGACAATGTGAAGTCCATGTTTTCTTGGTTCGTTGTTTTCCAGGTGGAGTATGGTTGCTTTGCTTTATACTCATAAGGTGTTCGGCTCGGCTGGAGTTTGTGGCAGAGGGTGGTGCTGACTCCTCCTGTATCCCGAGCTTGGCCGCTGTTCGTCATGGTCCATTTTAGCAAAGACAATTGTGAGACAGAGAGAGAGGTACGCATTGTAGCAGCATGCAGCATCATCACGACGGAAAAAAAGTAAGTCCACAAGCACGACGAGAAATAGTTCCACACACACACACACACGTTGCACGTACGATGTTTCATGAAGCAAATGTGACATAAATCCAGACATAATTAATATAACGAAAATCAACATAAGATTTTGGTTGCTGCTTGTTCTCCAGTAGTGCTAACAACGGTCGACTGCTCCGGTTTTCTGCCAGTCACATAGTCATAGTCACAGTCCCAAGAAGCAAACCTTGAACATGTCCTTGGCCTCCAAGAGAGCCTCGCAACACAGCTCTAGGGGTTTGTCAGTGATACGGGTATATGGTGCAGCGTCGCCCGACCCCCTCCACCCCAACCCCATGGTATTTCCCCTACCTCCCCCCCCCCTGTGGTGCGGTGCGGTGTGGTGTGGTGTGGGTTTCAGTTAACCCCGCTCGGTGTGGTGGTGGGTTTTGAGTTATTTAACCCCGCCCTCTGCCCCACTGTGGTGTAGTGTGGTGTGGTGGTGGGTTATGAGTTTCAGGTTGAGTGTTGAACCCCCTTGCCCCCTCCCTGTGGTGTGGTGGTGGGTGTTGGGTTTAAGGTTCAGGGTTTGCACCCGCACCACCCCTGTGATGTGGGTGGTGGGGTTGTTTAGGGTTTAGGTGCACGGATATGAACGGGTTTTTTGACACTCACACTCGGACAGGGGTTTAGGATCGAGAGTCAGCAGCTGGGCGCGGCGCAGACCGAAACCATGGCCCATCCAGGTGTGTGCGACACGCCACGAAGCTGCCTAGCTTCAAAAGTCACAACACTCACGAGGATCCCAGATTCGAAAGCCCATACCTGTTGGCACTTTGGAGACAAAATGACGACCCTCACTAGGATTTCGGTGTATAACATGGGGGAGGGCGGTGGGGGGGTGCGGCGGGGGGGGTACCGACACGCAATACGAACCAAAAATATGTTTCGGTGCTGGTGCTGCACATTATAGACGTACTCCCAAAGATTCCGGAGTCTTGATTTCTGAATTTCTGTTGTCCAAGGTTCAGGAGCACTTCATAGAAGACTTCGTTCACTTGAGGACCGATGATGGTTTGATTCAGGATCGCAAGTCTGCAGTTCCAGTTCAGAGGCTAGTGAAAGCAGTTCATTTCGTGGTGCGCTTCGGGGCTGTGTGAGATTTAATAGCTTGCAAAGCAAGAGTAGGTGTTCTGCTGCCGCCAGGAAAGTCCTCGGCACCTCGAAGTATGCTCCGAAGTCTGCTTCGGATCCCAGCTTCGTGGTGAAAGACTCGCATCTTGTCATTCAACCGAGCTTCTTCCGCCAGGGCTAGTGAAAGGCCTCTCCTGAACTCGCTTGGTCTGATCAACCCCAAAAGTCTTTTTAGCTGGTGTGCGATTGTGGCTGGGGGTGATTTCTCAGGAAATGCGCAGCTTTCCACCGCAACGGCAAGCAGCTGTGGCCAGTCAGAAAGTAAGATGCTCGTGACGCGAGCATTGTCTTCTGCTGCACTGACGGCCGCGAAGCTGTCGTTTGCTGCAAAATTTGCATCCGTCACACGGCTTGGCGACGGTTGGCATATGATCCTGCTGCTCTGGAAGCAGACACTTACTTCCTCAGGAAGCGGAGGATGCATGGCACCTGGTGATACCTGGTGTCAGACGTAGAGCGTTGTATCTTGACGGCCGTCGCTGGACTAGCAGCCCTTGGCCCGAAAAAGATGCGATGCAAAGCAAAGCTTGGAAAAAGGGATTTTGCCGAGTCAGGTTGCGTGCGGTGTGGTTCCCTCTGGTGCAGTTCTCCACCTCTCCCGTGCAGAAGCACTGGCTGTCATGCGGATCATGGCATCAATGCCCCCAACCCCTCAAGTTTGGATTTGTGTTCCTGGGTGGGTTGCGCTCCAGTGTAAGCCGCATCCTGCAGCCCTGCCGCCACAAAGATGACGGAGGGTCATGCAGATCACGACTTTGTGCCTGCTACTGCTGCCATGCTTAAGGTGCGAAGTTTACCTGCATACCGAAGATTTGCTAACGACTTGCGAAAGTCACATGGTAGTGAATGTGACACCAACACAACCCTTGTGACTGATGGCATTCTCATATCGGGGCGACCATCCCAGCCTGCGAAATCGAGGGCTGTCCCAAGGATCCCCCAGACAAGCTCGACCCCTATGATTGCTTCATTCAATTGAACTCCACGGTCAGCACTTTTTTGCCGGGCTGGGACACCAGGAGGGCCTGGTACCTGATCATAAATGATAGCTGTCAGAGTTGCCCCTTCCAGAATCGGGACAAAGGCTGAGGCTAGAAACCTGTGTGCCACAGGCTTGTCGTGACAAGCAGCCGAAGCTCCGATCACATGTGACGTGTCCCGTTCAGGAGGGGCTCAAGCTTGTCAGCTTGCGCCGGGAGCTTGCAGTGAGACAGTCCAAAGATGAAAAGGGTTTACCTCATCGGTCACATCGTGAGCTGTGGTCCTGTCGAGCTTTGTGGTTCAGCAGCTTTGGCATGTCTGAGGCGGCCAAGCAATGCAGGATGCTGCAGCCGTTGGCAAGCAGGCTCCACAACTGGATAGAGATGATGCCTCACTAATGAACTCACGGTGTGGACCGCATCGTTCTGCATGCATCGCTTCGCGTTCCGACTTGACACTGCTCTTTCTTTCTATTCGCGGCAAAATGATCCAGCTTCATTACGACGCTACATTGACGCCTTTCACACGAGGGTTTTTCTGCTGGCCTTGGACTCCGGCTCACGGTCGCTAGCAAGACCCTTGTCAAACTGGAATCGTTTGTCTCTGCTTGTCTCTGTGGCTTTGGCTCTGTCTGCGTCGGTAGGCGAAGCGCAGAGGCAACGACAGGGTCACGGGATGAGCGCCCGAAGACGTCCACAACTCTTAAGCCCCGTCACGTTTGCAGCTACACACTTCGGCCAGACCGTGGCGCAAATGTGAAGAATCTAAGAATGCAGGCCATGCTCTCCGTCGCCGGCTTTGAGAAGCCCAAGCTGTCGGGCCTTTGCCCTTGGCCTCAGGATGAGTATAGCAGGAGCACACCCCGCGGAGAGGCGCCCAGTACTTGCAAAACTGGTGATACGTACAGCACTTCAGGTGATGACGCCCGCAAGCAGGAGGGCGGCCAGGAGCCCCTTGCGGACACCTTCAGCTGCATGCATGTTGCAACTCTTGCAGTTAGCAAGTCGTGAACTCCAAGCATGTCTTGGTTGAGAGCCCGTTCTGTCCGGTGGAAGGCCTTCTTTACAGTAGGCATTTGGGCACTTGACGACCGTATCTTGTCTACTTGGCTATTTTGTTTTTTGGGTTTGATTACAAGCAAGAAGCCAAGCATGTGCGGAAGGGAAGCAACAAGAGAAGAAGAGCCTGAGTAGGGGCCACAGAGAAGCCAAGTAGGGGTCCAACATGTTGGAGGATCCTTTAATGTATTCTTGATCGTACAGCTGAGTAAACTCTCGAAAAGACAAAATGTAGCTCAACCACACCTGAGACCTTGGCAGGCGGTGTGCCAAATCGCGAATGAGCTCTTCCCGAAGGGCCCCGGGCCTGGCCGCGGAGTCTTGCTGTGACGGGCGATGGGGAGCGGAGAATCCGAAAAAGCTGTGCTGTATACACGTACTTCGGGAACGTCGGCTCAGCCATCACCTGATCCTTTCAGTTTTTTGCCAGCACGATCCTTGGTTCAGACGAAACTTGTTCTGAGACACTGTTGAAACCGAAGCTTGCCCTTGGTCTGAGGCTTCTCCTGTGCGGGGACCGAGAAGGCCATCAACATCCTTAAGGACCTCTGCTCTTCCAACACATGCAGGTAGTCAGCTAGTCTGCTACAAGTAGCCATTTCAGTCTCGGCCTCGGGCAGACCCCTTTAGGGATGCAGCTGGCCTCCGGTCTTGGTCTTGTTTTGGTTGTCCGACTGAAACAGGCTTCCTCAGCTTTGCTGTTGCAGGATCTTGCGGAAAAGAATGGCGCACTTCAAGCCAAGGCCTGTCTTTCCACGGCCAGGGGTGCATTTTTCGAGGCGGCATCGAGAAGGCCTCGGTCGCAGATCCGTAGTCGTTACAGTTGCGGGCTTGAGGATCTTTGCAGCCTCCTGGACTCCTGGCTTGATCCTGCTTTTTTGTGATCTTCCCAACAACAGTTCCTGCGACTCCGTTCCATGTAAAGCTACAGCATCTAGCCCCCTTCAGATCCATCCAGGTGCTGAAAACCAGCGGAGGCTTTCACACCTCGCTGATGGAGCCCGCCAAGCAGAGACTCGCGAAGGCGGGGAGGGCAGACAGTCGTTCCACGCCGATCTGCGGATTGAGGATACTTCCGGTGGATGCCCGGTCTCGTTCCTCGAGCACATCCGATGTTTGGAGCCTGCCATCAATTCCAAAACGCGCAAACGCGCAGAGTTAGAGCTTCTTGGGGGTTTACAGCCTTGGGACCGTAGAGTCTGCCGAGCTCACTCCTGGCAGATTTCACCCTGCCTTGCCTGTGTGTATTCCGAAGCAGGCTCTGGATGAGATGCTTCCCGGCATGCAGCCGCCCTGTCCTTGGAAAACCCTTCCCTTGCGAAGGCAGCAAGTGCCTTTCTAACTTCCGGATGCTTCCTCGAGCTCACAGGACAGCTCTCGCTCTGGCAGTTCTCCCCAAGTAAAAGTTCGGTGCTCACTTGAGCCCGGATCTAGTATTTGTAGGATCTAGCGGTGTGTAGCTGGTCCCGGGCCGTACATGCTGCATGCCGAGGGTTCAGAATTCAAAGGCTGTTGTCATTGTTTTCTCAGCCAAGCGCACCTCGTGGCCCAGATTCCCGCACCCCCAGCTGCCCACACCGAAACACTAGAAGCTCAAGCACCCGGAGCCGAAGATGCCTTCAAACCCATAGTGACAGGTTTCAGGATTACTGTTTCTAACTTCTTCCCACCCACCTAGTGCACAAGAATTCTAGCGCCATACCCAAAGCCCTAAAAAACTCGAAACCCAAAATCGTGGGCCCTAAACAAGGCTGAAGAAGACGGTGTACATGAACGCCACCGCCGAGCCCCTGATGCCTGGCACTGCACCACAGGCGCTCTGGCCTGTTTTGCTGCTATCCCGCGGGTGTCCGCCTGCTGCTCTCCATCCTAGCGTAGCCTAGCGCCGCCTGGGCATGCAATCCTGGCACGTGTGGCCCCTATCCCCATTCGGATCTATATCATCTGTACATCCTCTTGTTGCACTGGCACGTGCCACACTTGTCGCATTGGACGATGCAGCGAAAAATCTGTCCAACACTATCCGAATCCCAACGTCCGACACCCCACGTGTTGTAGCCATGAGTTTTAGTATATTCCTACGACGAGTGCAGCGGATGAGTCTCAAACAAATCAGAGATGATAGAAGCGACCGCCGTGCCTTCTCGGCAGAAGAGGCCGTGGTGGACCTGCTTAAGAAGCAGCTCACGAGCCCAGTGCTCTGGGAACCATCCATGCAGAAGATGCTCGAGGCCAAAGTGCCCTTTGCCAAAGTATCCTTGACCCAACAAGAGCCATCACATCCCGAAAGACTGCACGTTTTGTGCCTCGACCCACTGAACTGCGGAGCAGGCGGGGCTCACCGACTTTTACGAGTGCGGCCCCAACAAGCAAATCAAGGCTTGCTGTGCCCCGCCACATGCTGTGTTTTCGGATATAGTCCCCTAAAATTGCAGTATGAGCTATTAGCACTTCCATCCCGTTTTGCCAAAGAAGTCGTGCTGTTACAGAGATGCTGTTCCTAGAGGGGCTCCACCTGTCCATTTCGCCCATGCGTCGCAGACTGCCAAGACCAGATCCTGTCCTGTGTAATCGAAAGACATGTGCCTGCCCACCCCTTTATCTGCTGAAGTATATTCATTGCAAGTTTTGTGCAAAAACATGTGCGATTTGATTGTGACAGGCGATGATGAAGCGCATCAATGCCAAAGCCTGGGGCAGCACCACCAACGTAGAAGTTTGAGATCTCGCAAGCCGATTATCACTCAACTTGTTCACAAATGCCTAAGTTAGAACTGGGGCATGAATTTAAGCAAAGAAGGCCGATCAGCCGCCGGCGGGCCGTCCAGACAAAACTCATTAGCACAATTCCAACTCAAGCAAACTCTAGCGGATAGCTCGAGCTTCCCCACGCAGATCAAAAGAGCTTTGTCATGGCGAGTGCACACCAAGAGGCGCTTCAGAAGAGACCCGCACCGGGAAGAGTCAGGCAAGATTGCCATGCCTTATGCCCGCGCGCCCTGCGGGGCTTCTGCTCGACAGAAGCCCCCTCTCTGCACTGACAGGCGTTTCAGACATTTCAGAGAGATGATAGGAGAAGAAAATGAGACAACCACGGCCACGAAAGCCTAGGGCAGAGCAGCAGAGCAGAGCAGGTTTCTAAAGCGGACGTTTCTGAAGTCAAAACCTCTTAGTCTTAGTTCGGACTCAGAAGCCGAAGAGCGTCGGCATGCATGGCTGGGAGCCC